GGTAATGACTATACCCTTTATTAAACACCTATAGTGAGTTGGGAATTATATGGAGTAATTCTTCTCTTAGATAATATTTAAAATGTGAGGTAGCTGTTAAGTTATTTTACACCAAGCAATTATTAGTATTGGCCCCCAAATATGGTGTGTATTTATTTTTAAAAAAAAAAAAATAAACTCGAATGGCCGAAGGAGGGAAATCTATTACATTTGTTTGTGCAGGGAGAAAGAAATATTTTTTTTCTGTTTTTATTTATTGAATATTTTATTTTCAAACTTTAAGGGGGATCTGTAATTTTTCTTCTCTTTCTCAAGTGCGAACGGTGAGGGGACTAGTAATACTAAACACCCACCCCACCAACCAAGTAATACCTCATGGCATCGGTGTTCAGATTGTGTAATTTTAGCCCCGAAAAAAAAATAGATTTATTCTGGAAAAAAAAAAAAAAAATTATGTGAAAAAAGAATAAATAATATTGAAACCAAAAAATAACTGATAAAAAAAATTTGCTGTTATATCTCTAAAAATTTTTAAAATTCTATTTTACAAAAAACCACGCTACTCTGTAAACTTATTTTTTTTTTTTGAATTAGCGTTCTTTTTTTATTTTTTTTCTAAATTTTTAACAACGCTGTGAGACAACCATTTATAAACACCAAAAAGATATATCAAACAAGTATTTTTATGATAATTTTTAAAAATAATTTTTTTGATAAATTATAGGTAAAAGATGTTGTAAATAACAAATACATTAATAGGTTACCAACGTAAGCAATGACTTATCAAAAGTTCTTTAAAGGCCACTAATATTATATCGTTTGATTTTGTAGAAAATTTTTTTTTTAAAATTTAAAAATTAATTTGGTTAAGAAACAAAAGAAATAGAGAAAAAATAAAAATAATTATCATTTTAAGGGGTAAAAAATAATGGATCATTTTAACTTGGGCAAGTTAATATAACTATGGTATGGCTGTTTTAATTTAATTTGTAAAAAATATTTCCAACCACTCGAAAGATAAAAATTGATATAAAAAGATTAATTATTTTTATTTTTTATTTCTTAACCAAATAATGTTTAATTTTTTAATTTTTTTTTCTAAAAAGTCAAACCATAATAGCCTAAGAAAATTCTTGTTAAGGTCATTTCTTATGTTGCTGGTAAAAACTTAATTTAATTATTTTTATTTTACACATTTACCATTCCAAAAACCTGGTTTCGGAATCCATTTCCTTTATCAGTGGTTTCCAATTATATTTTACAAAATTTAAAAAAAAAAACAGTCATAAAAACTTATTGATAAATTTTTTTGATTTATAATGGTTGTGCTCGTTTTTGTAAATTTGACGGAAAAAAACGTAAATTCAAAAAATGGTTTGAAGTTATGTTGGTTTATGTTAATACAGAAATTTTTTAAAAATTTTGGACTTATCAATTTTTTTTTTCAATTTAATTTTTTTCAAATTAGTTTTTTTTTCCAATTAATTTTTTTTGCAATGAATTTTTTTGCCAAACTTAATACTAATCGATGGAGGCAATTGGTTTAATGTTACTTTAAACTTTAGGGAGGGATTTGTTAATTCTAAAATGTAAGGGGTATTGTCAATGAAATTTAGCTAGTGAGGGCAAATAGTATTTAAAAAAATTAATTGTGAGTGTGGGGATGGTAGGGAATCGTTGTAATAATGAAACGTTTAAAACCTCAAGGGCTAGGTTGTATTCCAAACATGATGGGTAGGAGAACGGTTAATTAAACATAATCTCGGGCTTGGTTGTCGTTTGTGAATTTTACCTCTCCTAGGTTCTATAATTTCATTATACTTTTATAATATATAATCACACTTAATTTAGAATTGACAGTGATCATGGTAAAAAAATAAATCATTTACACGACGTATTTTCAATTCAGGGAATTAAGTGTGATTAGAAAAAATATAGACAATTGTATATTTTAATTAAAAAAATCAATTTGAAAATATTTATACAATCACAACCTATTTTAGGAAGTTTTTGATTTTAAAAAAGTAGTAATGCTTTATATAAATCACATTTTAATTACATTGTGTGATTAAAAAAGTATATAAATACATTCTAGCACTTTAATTAGGATTTTAGTGTCTTTAGAGTTAAAAATAGTAAAAACTCAAATAATTCGACACTTATTTAAAAAGATCTGTGATTTAAAAAGTAATAGTAGTATATATATTTCACTCTTATTGGGAATAGCTCCGTGCTTAAATAATACATCCTCATTAGGATATATTTTATATAGTTATTATATAATCACCTCATTTAAAAAGTGTGATTAAAAAGTAGTAGAATATATAATAAACGAAACTTCTCAAGTGGTAGAAGGCTTTTTGATTAAAAATTATAATAAATATATATATATGATCACACTTTAATTAGAATGTGTGATTAAAAAATATATATATATATATATATAATCACACTTATTTAAAAAGTGTGATTAAAAAGTAATAGTGTATATGTAATCACACTTTAATTAGAAAGTGTGATTAAAAAAATGTATATATAATCACACTTAATTGAAAAGTAACATAAAATATAAATATTATCACACTCAATCAAATTAAATGTGATTAAAATATCATCTAATTTTTTTTCCTCACACTTTCAATAAAAGTGAGACATTTTTTTTTTTTTTTGGTTAAAGTGTGATCTTTAACTATTTTTGTAGTAGTGAGTATAATTCATCTAATTTTTAGAGAATAATTACATTTTATCCCCCTTGTAGTTTCAGGCGTTTACTCATTACCTTCCTAACTTTTATAAACATACTCATAAATTCTCTATGATTTTGAGTAATGTGCATAAGTGACGAAAGGTGACGAAATTAATGAAAATATTAAAATATCCTTAGATATTTATAATGCTTACATCCTACCGTTTCTTCGGTTCTATTTCTCACTCATTCGAGAAGCAAGATAAAGCCTTTTTTCGATCTAATGGCGGGTGGTTTCCCATACTACATGTACATTGAAGAAGACAATTACGATCAATTCCAACAACTAGTCGATAACCCCAATGGCCTCTATGTCGAAGACCAACTCTAGCACACAGATGAAGACGAATCTGAACCTAAATCCGACTACGAAGATAATGACAATTCCAATTGTTAGTATATATTAGTATATATATTAGCTGTCAAACCTTTAATAATGTACCTTTAATAATGTTGTTTGGTTCGTGCTTCTGCTTTCGATTCTTTGGGGTTTGTAAGGTTCCTTTTGTTTTCCCTCTCCTCTATAAAGGAGGGAGCTCGACTGAACATTATATACAACATCAATGTACTGAATGTATCAATATATATTATTCTCTTGCTCTATACATTGAAATTTACATGGTATCAGAGGTAAGTTAAGAACCTCATAATTTCGCTTCACCGGCGGGCGGCAGCCTTGCCTTAGCCACCCGCTGGATCTCAACCCCTTTTCGGAGCTGTTCTACAACAGGAGATCGTGTTTCATCGGCCGAAATGATCCATACCAACAACATCATAGCAACTCTCGTCATGATCGCCACGATCTAGACGGCTTTGATCCTCTCCCTTGGTCTCCACACCTCATCAGACAATTGTCTCATCATCGCTCTTCTCATCCTGAGCGTGTGCTCGCGACCAACCAGCTCGCGCGACCGGCGCGCCTTACGTCTGTCACCTGCAACCTCACCACTGCTTCCAGTTGTGACAGACCAATGCCGACCATGTCACCTATGCAACGCGGCGTCGGTCTACCCAGTAGTTTTGCCGATTTGAGGCCTGCCTTCTATTTCCACCGCCAACCTCGGCATTTGCTCACTCTGGCGCCTCTCATGTTGTTCTGCTCTCCATCCCCTTGTCTTCATTCAATTGGCTTCATCTTCTCTATAGCCCCAGATCTATGAATGAACTCTTTATATATATATATATATATATACGTGGGTGTTTTTTATTTTCACTCAACTAATTCAAATCCTTTCACTGTTGATTTTTGGACTTCAAGATCTAGTCTTCAATGGCTGATTCATCTTTATTTTAAGCTCCACAGGCTGTTAAAGCTCCAAAGCACTCTCTTCCGTCTCCAATGGACACCCTAGCCTTCCATCATTTTCTTCCACCAAACACCCATCTTTATTTTAATATTTCCAACCATTTATTTTAAACTTTTCTTCCACCAACCCACTAATTTTATATTTTATTTTATCACATACCCATCATTTCTTTTCACTTTTTCTTCCCACCACTTTCAATCAACTTGTCTTGCATAGACGGGAAGATTGATAAAGAAAAGAAAAATAGGTGGTAGCTCGAAATGG